CAGCAGCAGTTGCTGCAGCAGCAAACGCTCTCTGAGTCTCCTTCCACTTGCTCAGCATGGCAAGAAGGCGAGGCTCGAAGCTCTCCGAAAGCAGCAGGAAGCAGTAAGAACAAAGTGGGGAGGCCAGGGCGGGCAAATCCACTGTGGAAAGGCAGTAGACTGCAGCAGGAACAGCAGCAACAGCAGCAACATGGGACGTACGTCTCTTGCAGAAGCTACAAAACAGCAGCATCAGCAGCAAAAGCAGCAAGTCCTGCAGCAACAGGCCCAACTTCCGCTACTACCGCTGCTGCCGCTGCTGCAGCTGCGCCTCTGCAGCGCAGCGGCGGACCCAAGAGGAGCCCGGGGGTACCCGGGGCCCCGGACCCCTGGGGCGCCCCTCCACGGGCCCTCCGGGGGGCCCCCGGGGGGCCCCTGGGGGGCCTGAGGGGCCCCCCCTGAAGGGCCCCTGGGGACCCCCTGGGGGGCCCCTGGGGGGCCCCTGGGGCTGCAGGCGCAACCGAGAGGGTCACCTGCTGGGGCCTTCTCTTGAGGCAAATGCAAAAGAGCCTTAAGGGGGGCGTGGGGCACGCGAGCGCCCCTCCAGGCTGTGGGAAGCAGCAGGCCGGGGGACTCTGAGACCTGAAGACATAAACATTTTTATTTCTTTTTAATTTCTTTGAAATCCCCAGAGGCCTTTCTCAACAATAATCCGGCTTAGGCTTAGCCAGTGCTTCAGGGGGACTCCCTGCTACGGGCCCGATGCCTGTGGCTGGCTCCGCCTGCAGCAGCAGCTGCTGCTGCTGCTGCTGCTGCAGGCGTTTTGCTGCTGCGTCTGCGCACTGCGGCGCTGCTGTGCGTTTGCCGACCTCCCTTAGAGCTCATCTACTGCTCAGCTGCTGCTGCTGCTGCTGCTGCTCTAGCCTTTCCCTGGTCACTCTGGGACTGCTTCTGGCTGCGATCTGCTAGGGTCTACGGGCCCCTGGGGCCCCCCGGGGCCCCCTGCAGGGGCCCCCAGAGGCCGTCGAAACCCGGCGGGGGCCCCCAAGGGCCCCCGAGGGCCTTTGTTTCTGCGTACCTGGAGTTCAGGGGGCCCCCCCCCGCCACCCATGAGGGCCGACTTGGTGTAGGCGTAGCCCAAGTCCACTCCTTGGAATCTGAGGCCCAAATGGGTTTCTTCACTGCTCAGCAGCACTCGAATAGTCTCTAGCCGTTGGCTTCTGAGGGGCCCCACAGCCATTTGCAGCGCCGCCTGCGGGCCTCACACCAGCGCAGAGCAGCGCAGCTGCAGCTGCGCAGAGGCCTCGGGGGGCCCCCAGGGGCCCTATAGCTGCGGGCCCCTCAAGGGGGCCCTCCCGCTGCAGCTGTGGGGGACCGCCCTGAGGGGCCCTCCCGCTGCAGCAGGGGAGCGCTTTGCTGTTCAGCCAGCGGGGCCACCGAAGGTGTCCGTACACCGCAGATTATGCAGAAGCATGCAGTCATGCACTAATAAATTCATTAATTTGAAATAGATATAACACCAAAAGTATCCATTAAGTGC